TTCAGAAGCTTGAAGATAACTGCAACAATAACTTCATTGCATGCCTGTTTGCTAACTTACGTTTTCTGCAGATCTCTCATGGTGAAAGACTGGTTCCTCAGTGTGCCGTGTCGAGAAGTGATATGCATTGACTTTTCTCTTCCCCTTGGGTTGAATTTATATGCAGCCTCACTGAATTTAATGAGATGTAAGTTCTCACACTTTTTAACCAATCAGGAAACTGCAGTATGACAATAGTGTAAGAGAGGATTGTTTAAATAATTAATGCCAAGGCCCTAAAAACCAAATGAGCAGGTGGGTTTTATTTTGTCTGTCAGTCAAGGACTGAGATATTGCTAAAAGAGCAGCAGTGAGCATGTGAATTAGCATTGACCACATTCATGCTGTCAGCCAATAATATGTGTGGGAATGTGTACTTAAACATCTGTCCAGAAATACTACAAGAAAGCAAAACTCAGCCTAAAATTGATAGAAAAGAGATTAAATGGTTAGACAGTTAACATCAAATAATTAATTAATTATATTCATTTGTTCATTCATTCATTTTATATACAATGATGGTTTATTTTGTTCATAGCTCTAAAACAAGTGAAACTCAACATAAAAGTTGATAGCAATATTTTTTTTATCATTTATTTTTATTTATTCCTATTTTATTTATTAATTATTTATTATACAGTGGTCAGCATTTGAAGTTGGTCAGAAAAGTTCATCAAAGTTGTCCTAAGACAACAACACATTTTGGTTTTGATCCACTTCAAATGTTGAATACTGTACATACTTACTTATATTACTATTTATTAAATATACAGTGGTGGATTTGCTAAAAGAGCAGCAGTGAGCATGTGAATTAGCATTGACCTCATTCATGCTGTCAGCCAATAATATGTGTGGGAATGTGTACTTTTAAACATCTGTCCAGAAATACTACAAGAAAGCAAAACTCAGCCTAAAATTGATAGAAAAGAGATTAAATGGTTAGACAGTTAACATCAAATAATTAATTAATTATATTCATTTGTTCATTCATTCATTTTATATACAATGATGGTTTATTTTGTTCATAGCTCTAAAACAAGTGAAACTCAACATAAAAGTTGATAGCAATATTTTTTTTATCATTTATTTTTATTTATTCCTATTTTATTTATTAATTATTTATTATACAGTGGTCAGCATTTGAAGTTGGTCAGAAAAGTTCATCAAAGTTGTCCTAAGACAACAACACATTTTGGTTTTGATCCACTTCAAATGTTGAATACTGTACATACTTACTTATATTACTATTTATTAAATATACAGTGGTGGATTATTTTGCTCATAGCTCTAAAACAAGCAAAACTCAGCATAAAAGGTAATGATAAAGATGATCATGTGTAGACATTCAACATCAATCAATTTTTATTTATTTTCAATGAATTTTTTTTGAATGTATTACATTAAACATTTATTTATTTATTTTCAATACATTTTTATTTTAATTTATTACATGAAACATTTATTTATTTATAATTGTTTAATATACATAATTTATTATATAAATATTTAATAAGTATGCAATGATGGGTTATTCTGCTCATACACAAAAGTTTATATAAACCTGATAATTTTATTCACACTTGCAAATTTTAATTTTCACATTTTAATAAATGCATAAAACCATGACAAAATTGTATCATTGAATCTAAGATTAATTGCTGCATTATGACACAATTCTGTCAAAAAAAAAAAACTGTTAGAATGAGCAGATGATGTTATCTGATATAGCCTATTTTGTACACTCTAGAGCTGGGACGCTGTTGTTTAAGGGAAGTAATTGAGTGATGCCTCCAGATGGCGAGCCTGGCTGCCTGGGAGGTCCTGTG